GAGAGAGAGAGAGAGAGAGAGAGAGAGAGAGATTACTGCAATCTAATTAAGAATGATTCGCATATTACGTTCACAATTAAAGGGAGGGGGTCGATGAAACTGAACTTTGCAAACGCAATATGTTTTAAATTATTGCATCCAAACCATTGCTAACAAATGGGGAGGGAGTGTAGAATTCATGGAGAGTAAGTGCCGTAACAATCCATTGAATGTAGGCATAGACCTGACCCAGGTGACCGATCTGGCCAACAAGCTAGTACTTTTAAAGGTGCCATTGTTGGAAGCGGTCAAACAGTATACTGTATACAGATTTTAGACAATACTGTCTCTAATAGTCTAATGGTGTCATTTCAAACAGGCTTAAATATTTAGACTATGATAATAATAGCCGGTTATATACAGTATGTTTGATCATGATAATTAGTGAAACACACATTGAAACTTTACAATTGATTTTAATTGTAAACTTAAAATTATTTTAGATCACATTGTTATTTTAGCAAAACTTTAAAATTACTACCTATATTTAAAAAACGTAACTAACAATCACATAGGTTGCAGAGTAACAAGGTTAAAAATGTCCGGACACGATAACCCTGGGTTCGAGGACATAGACCCGGAACCGGGACACACCTCATCATTACTGGACACACCTATACCTCTATACCAACCGTCACTTCTAACACCGCCGCACTCCCAGTCCTTTCTGACCCAAACCATTCGCTTTGGGCCCTCACCGGACAGACAGGAAGAGTACGTTATCGTACGGACACCACCACCGGTGCCATCGCGAGCTGTCACTCCCGGCGCGCACACCCTATCGACATACGTGTCCGACGATAGCGATGACAGCGATGATGGGTCGGGTGCGTGGGCTCCCAGTGACCGGTACGGCGCGTCGGTGGCCACTAATATAACCAGTGGTGACTCAGACTTACAGAACATTTCGCACCCGATAGAGAGGCTACAGGAGGCCTACGAAATGGCCGATCCGTCACCGGGAGGACAGCCGGTGTTGTTGTCCAGCGGTGTGTTGAACGTGAGCAGTGCGGACGAGACGGGTAGTCGACTGGGCCGGTGGCTGAACCGTACGGTCGGTCCCCAGAGGGGTGTCGACCGGTTGGGCCGCAAAACCATTAGGGATTTGAAGAAATTGCGGACTAAAGGCTTTGACGTACGGTATGGGAAGCGCCGGGCGATCGGCACCGGGAACTACGGCGCTGTGTATTCGGGTGTCTATACTTATGGGGTATGTGTTTGACCTTATATTATATGTTAAATCTAGTTAAGTATTTAATTGCTTTTTTACATAGATTATGAATCTGACTGAGCGAGAGCGTCAGTACCTGGGCTACGACATAGTGCCCGATCGGACTCAATTCGCGGCCAAATATGTCCAGTTTGGCGGCACCGGTGCCGAGACCCTAATGCCCCGCATATACCACGAGATTGAGAAACAGTGTATGAAACGACTGGCCAATCACACGAACATTGTTGCCTTTAGGATGGCAATTAATCTTGGACAATCGCATCGGGTGGTACGCCATCGAGATCAGCAGCAACAGCATCACCATGGTGATCAGTTCCGGAGCTACGAACGCATGTTTCTGATCATGGAGCTGGGCGACCGTGGTACTTTGGCCAACATGGTAAGTAATAGCAAAATCAATGACATACTGGCTGTGAGTTTTATACGCCAACTGTGTTCAGGTATGTGTGTAAACAATCTATGCCCAAAAATATTTTACTTATACAGTAGTATAACATTGAATAATATTATATAATTTATCACGTGTTTTGTTTTTTGGTTACGATTGTATTTGTGTGGCACAGGTATGGCATACATACACGGAAAGGGTATCACTCACGGGGACGCCCATTCGGGTAATGTACTGGTGTTCAGCTCTAGCGGTCAAACCGGTGCCAATTTGACGGCCAAATGGACAGACTTTGGCCGTAGTCTGTGTCGCGACCACTGGTCCGGTAGGGATATGACGGACGCCGAGTTTTTGGCGCTCATCCGTACGGATGTCCAGCAAATGGTTATCATTTTGAACGCCCTGTTAGAGTGCGCCCGGACTGCCGGCGCGGCTAATACTGGTCTCGATGTACAGCCTGTGCGCCGGTTTGTCGAGAGATTGAGTCAAACGAACCGGTCATTGGATGATGAGCTTAGGTGTTGCCAGTTTTAATGTGGGTTTCATCCATGTTGTTTTGTTTTGATCATTTTTTGAAATAAACATTAAATCAAATTGATTTATAAGTTGCGAATAAACTGTTGTATATTTTGGTATTTTATATCATGTAATCAATTTAGGTGATTATTACTGAAAATAGGATTTATGCATTTTGAAAATAATAAAATGTTAAATTATTACCAATTTAAGCTGCACTTTAGTTTATGGGAGATGATATAATTTATAATAAACATTCCAATTGAACACGGCCTAGTATCTAAAGTTAAGGTCAAATTCAATATTTAATTACCATTTTTTAATGAATATAATAAAAAAAATAATAAGAAATATAATGTTTAATTTGAAAATTGTTTTATTAAGAATTTGCCATATTTATTTGATTTTACAAATTATTTTTGCACATGATTTCTATTTATGTGTCGCGTTAAGTGATATTTTGTGACAAACCGTTGATTACAGTTATTATGAAAACATTTATGAGGTTTTATATTCAAATGTCTTTTTATATGTGCTCTGAGGTTAGATTTTAAAGAGAATGTTTTGTTACAATCACTGAAATGACAAGCAAATGGTTTTTCACCCGAATGTATGGAATGTTTGTGTTGAATTAATATTTCTTTTCTATTGAAACTTTTGCCACAATTTTCTTCATTACATTTGAATTTTCTTTCATTCAAATGAACACAACTTTTGTGTCGAAATAAAGATTGTTTTGATAGAAAACTTTTGTGGCATTCATTGAAATCACAAATAAATCTCACATTTAAATGAACCATATTTTTATGCTTTAATAAATGTCCATGTTGTTTATAAGTTTTAGTACAATTATTAAAATTGCATTTAAAACCTTTAATTTCTGAATGAATTAATTGATGTTCATTTAAATGGTTCTTCGTTTGTGTCTTGTATTGACATTTAGGCCAAAAACAGTGAAAATAATCATCAGATTTAGTAATGATATGACAATTGTTTAGCATTTTATCACTGATTTTACATGAATTGCAATCAATTGTTTGATTGATTGATAAATAATCATTATTTTCGCATTCAATCGCTTCACACAAAACACTATTATTTGTATTCAAAATACACTGAATTTTGTCTATTATTTCACACAAAGTCTTCATTAAATTTAAACCACACTTTAATTTATTAGATAAAAACATTACAACAGCAAAAAATATTTAACTGAATTCACATCAAAACATGTAAACAATGAACACTAACTCCGTTTCCGTTACAACACGTGTTTTACATTTTTGTTAAAACCGGTTTTAGTATATAATAAGTGAGTGAAAAACAATTGTCGAGAGAGAGAGAGAGAGAGAGAGAGAGAGAGCGAGAGAGATTAGTAATCTCAGATTACTGCAATCTAATTATGGCTTTTAATTGAGAATAGATTACTGCATATACCGTTTGTCACAATTATTGTAATGTTAAAATGTACCTATTTAAATTATTTTACGTTCTATCCTAGTTTACTTTTATAGAGTACTACAGTTAGTATAAAACTTTTATTAGTATTTATCTAAATTAGTATTTATTTTAATTATCAATGATAATTTATCATATTATTTTTAAAAATTAGTGTTTACATTTATCAGAAAGTGACATAAATTATATCATATAACTTTATTTAAATATACACATAATACCTATAAATAAAATATTATTTATTTACTTTATTAATTTTATTATAATAATTAAATAGGTAATATTATAAAACTATTATAAACATGTTCATATTATTGTTATTTTAATGCTAAAAATACAAAAAAAAACAATAATTAACTAATTATTATCTTTAGCTTAATAATTTAACCTTTATTTATTATTATCAGTAAATAACTATTGTTTTTAATTTGATCCGGATTATATTGAGTAAGTGTGCATAGTGATACAATCAAAGTTATTTATTATGTACAAACATTTAATTCATATCAAGCAATACACTTGTACTTAAAATACAATATTAATAATTACATGTTTGTGTTGAAAATTAAAAATTTACAAATTATCAAGATAGTTTAAAGTTACAAAATTTAATATTCTTTAAAATTATATATCAGGGGACACGAAAAGTTTTGCAATAATTTGATATGAAATTAAAACTTAATTTATTCTTAACACAATAAACTTTAATCATCGGTCTAAACTCTATAATGATGGTCAATTATTTGTCTTCTTGTGATAAATTTTTTAATTGTTTCTGTATATGGATAGCTTGATTTTAGGGCAAAAAATAGGAACACCCATTATTTGACATGGTCCTTATTATTTAGTGCCATTTCTCTCACAGACAGTGGAAGTGATCGAAACCGACAGGAATCTGGAGAGTATATGTGTGGGTTAGGGATGCAATGGGTATAGACTTCATATCTGTTGTCATTATTTTTCTGTTAAGTTTTATATTTAAAGTTGCCATATTTTTATAGACAGAAATTGCCCTAAAATCCATTTACATGACCTTTACCTCTTCCCAATAGCATTTAAGTGATCCCAACTATTCTATTCACTGCACCTCTACTGTCAATATATATCTTCACATCAATTGTTTTGGATTTGTCTCTTAAAAAAATTTGATCACTACCGACGGGTGGCCACCTTAAGGTGGGCACCAGAGCTAAGGTCATGGTCGCGGGACATTATTAACTACCCTAATCGTTAATATTCAATACAACAATTATAATCATATATTATTTGTATTTTTCGGGGGGCTGCCGTGGCAAATAAACCATGATATAAAAATTTTACACATGATAATTTCTAATGTTTACTATGTTTGAAGCATTGGTGGCCATGAATGGCAATTGATAAAAAATTGGTTTCAACTATAAATTAAAGACAAAGTATTGTATTTTAATTTAACAAATCTATTTTTGTAAAAATTATTAAAATTAATACTTAAAAAATTATTTTAAAATAGTTTAACAAAATTTCTCGCATAACTTTTCGTGTCCCCTAATATAACTATAATGGTTTACATAATTGGTGTTTACATAATACAATAGGGTACTTGAAAATGATCTACGTCAAATATCTGTAAACTAGATAAACTAGAATTTATCTCACCACTTTACTTTTATTTTCATTGAATTGGGTATAAAACATAATATCCACGTTACCTGTTAACAGTCATTTAGTTTATTTAATATTTAAACATATTAATTTTAAATTGAACATTGTATTACAAACAATAAAATGTACATGATATTGTGCTTGACCATTTATGTGGGATTTGTATCAGCCCAAATTCCATACGATGATTGCGGTATATAACTTTAATGCACGTTAATTATTAATAAATATAAAATGTAATAATTATTTTTACTAAATGTGCCAGGTCATCACGAAGTGCACAGCGTGTATGTGAGTGGTTGCGCACCGGGTGTATCGTGTACACTTCACAAGGCTGTTCAGACAAACATCTCGGTCGAGTTTAAAGCTAGTAAGTAATTATTATTATGATTACCATAAGTTATATGTTGTTTTTATTTAACTTATGTACATTTACATGTATATACATGGTATCTATATTTAAACTTTGTTGAAATTAATTTATCTATTGTAATAAAATAGCACAAAAATATCATAAATTCAAATTTATTTTGTTTCAAAAGTTTCAACATGATAATTTATAAAAATCTATATATTTTATTTTATTAACATGACTAATGTTTACATGTAACAATTAACCCTATGCAACTAAAAATAGACCAGGATGCTGATAAACTTGAGCACTATCTACACGCTGACATTGCTGGCAAAGACGTGGACCTGATACCGATGATGGGACTGGACAAGGATGCGTGCAAATTGTTGAAGTGCCCCATTAAAAAGGACGAGGTGCGAACTCTAACCTACAAATTCACCATACCCAAAACAATGCCCAACACCGACGCTAATGTTAAATCAAGATTGATTGGCTCAGGTGGCGACCTGTATTGCACAGGCACGTATCTGTCTGTTCGCGATTAATTGATCATGTTATTAATAAAATTTGATTTTTTGTTTGTTTCTGATTTAATTATAATAAAGCTTATTATTATCCGATATCAAGTTTACAAAATAATCATTTATTACACCAACTTTTAATAACTTTTATTATTTGCAATTTTTTTATTAAAAATAATAATCTCTCCAAAAGACATCACATATATTTTGAAAGGGATTACCCAATACTGTACTTCTGCTAAGTTTAGCATTTAATTCGTGCACATTTACCACGTTGTGAGACCACATCTGAGGCCAGTTTGGGTCCGGAATGCTATACAAATCAATTGAAATATAGTGTAAATAATTGAAAATCAATCTTGTTAGCAAAAAACAATTCATTCAAATACTTACCCAGTTTTAGCAAAGTTAGTCCACATACGCATAACATCATCAGTAAATTGTCTTTCCATCATGGTCACATTCATGGGTGCCTGGTAGTCCAGGCCCCAAACAAACGGTATATCAGCGCCGTGGCAAATGCCCATGGTCACCGGATCGCAGTTCATAAGTGCGGCGAACCAATCGCTTTGATAATCCCATCGATAGAAATAAACATTTCGGTCATTTTGTGGCGATATTTGCGCAAAACGCTCGGCAAACAGATATGTCGGACAATTCATCATTAAATCGCCAAAAAATCTATTAAATGCCTGTTTTATTGACAATGGATTACTAATATTAACGCCGTGGAGGTAATAGTCGGTCACTTTTGTCGCGTTTATGATGTGATATATTTGGTCCGTTTCGCTCAGGTATGCCCTGAAATCGGCCACCGATTCAATGTGTGAGTGATTTAATACATATTGGGTCAGTAGTGCGCCCTCGTCTCGGGTCAGGCCTGCCATTAGGTCAATGTCTATACGGGTAAACAAGTGAAATAAGTTGTTAATTAATATTAATTGCATTAAAACCTGTGTTTAATTGTTTGGTTTTCAATGCTTTTTGGGCGGATATGGGCAGGAATTCTGTGCCCACGACTGGGAAAGCAATGGTTGGATTAAATTTAAGTATATCTCTGGCGTCCGCTCTGCGCAGACATTGTATCCAATCCTCGGTTTCATTGCATTTCAATTGTTTTGCTATATGTTTGCCATTGGCTATGGCCTCAGGTTTGGTGATAGCATCCCTGTCCTTGTTATACATATGGGCGCCGCTTTCCATAATAGCCCTCTTGAATAGACCCTTAGATAATGGAGATATGATTTGTGCCGATACGGAGACACTGCCGGCGCTCTCACCAAATATAGTGATCTGATCCCTATCTCCGCCAAATGAGTGGATGTTTTTTCTAACCTATTATTAAATCATTAATTTATAAATTATTTCATTAATAAATAGAATTTATAATTAAAACAAGCAATAAATGAATACCCATTTGAGAGCCAATAACTGGTCATAAAAGCCGACATTTCCGGGCGCGTCCTCCCGATCCCCGTATAGGAAACCAAACTCTCCTAACCTATAATTAGTGGACACAACCAACACATCATGTGTGGCCAAAATTGATCCGTTGTATCCTGGTAGTAGAAAAATGGTACCATTTACTAAACCCCCGCCATAAATGTAAAACATAATGGGTTTGAGCTGTGATTTGTTTGTGTTATTATTGCCCGCATTTGGTGTCCATATGTTTAATACCAAACAGTCTTCACTTTGTGGAGTCGTTGTTGGCTGTGGTTGTAAACATGAATTACCCTGTTTTGTTGCATCAATGACATCCTAGATCAAATTAATTAAATATTACATTATAGTATTAAAATATATAATTATTATCTTAAGTTATAAGTAAAGTTATATATAAAGATTAATTATTTACTTTTAGGGGTTGTTTGAGTGGTACGGGCGGTGCGAACCGTAGACTCCCGACCGGTGGCTCAGCAAATGGTATATTCAAAAACTGGTCAACAGTTTTGTTGAGCACATGTAGTGTCAGACCGCGCACTACACCTGATGTTGTATTTACATCTATACATTTAGCTTTAATTATGTTTACAATTAAAATTATAAAAATTGACCTTAAGGTAAATTGCAGAAACATTTTTATTGTTTAGCACAAATAAATCAATAAAAAACGCATTAATAACTATTATAATGTATAAAAATTTAGGATATACTACAAAATTGCACTAAACATATTACTACTTAATTATTTGATATATAATCTTACTAAATCCTAAATTGATAAACAAGTTGGAAATAAAACAAATAATATTTGTTATCTTAAAACAATGTTTATTTAGCATTGAACTAAAAATGAAAGTTGGTGACACAATAAAATATACTTACCGTATTACCCCGCTTATAGGTGCATGCACTTATATGTGAGTTTTTACACAAGGGGTGCACCTATATCCGGATATAGGTGCGGTAGTTTTTGGCTCATTTTTGACTTTCAATTGAAATTTACATATAAAGATGAGATGATCTCTTTACCTTGAGATGAAAATCAAATGACTTATTATTAAACTTTGAACTCTAAAATGTTACTTTAAATGTTTAAAATCTATATGTATTATCTTATCTATTTATCAGTTCCATGATTAATGACTACATTAGTGTAAAATATCTCTTATAATGAACATGTCTTCAAGTGATGAATCATCACTAATGAATCAATTCAAATAATTAGTGAATAAATGGACATAAATGAAGAAATCAGTGATAAAAGTGTGACAAAACAATGAAAGAAATTAAAATGCAGATTTACTTTAAATTATTAAATAATATATCTTCTACCCATTAATTTATTAAGTAATTTTGACAAATAAAAATTGGTGCACTTATATGTGATTTTTACACAAGGGGTGCACTTATATCCGGATATAGGTGCGGTAGTTTTGGTGACATGCAAAATCTGTGAAATTCACTTATAAGTGCATGCACCTATAAGCGGGGTAATACGGTAATTATTGTGATAGCTAATATATCGATAAATTGATTATTGCACCATAGTGCTCTTTTTTTTTAAAAAAAAGANATGCACCTATAAGCGGGGTAATACGGTAATTATTGTGATAGCTAATATATCGATAAATTGATTATTGCACCATAGTGCTCTTTTTTTTTAAAAAAAAGAGCATATTAAGATTAAATATTTTATCTCAGGTCAAAAATAATCGATATAATTCAATATAATGTCATAAAGATTTAAATGGTAACATTTGCAAAAACGGTAAATAATAACAAAATCAATTGTACTCGGGTGCATTTTAAATTAGAGCAAATTATGATAAACAATCATTATATTTGGCAATATATTACAATTCAATTAATCTTGTAATAATTAGTGCAAAAACCTATATTATACGGAAAAATCTTTCAATGTAGATTAGTTAATCTGTGTTCATCAAAACATGGTTAGTCAATATATGAATGTTTTATCTTGATAAAATAATGCGATTCACTAAATGTAGTTCTAACGATGTAAAGTAAAATTGTATAAATAGCGTTGCAATTAACTCAATATAATATATTCATTACAAAACTACATAGTTTATAAAACAATAGTTTTAATATTATTATAAACAACTAAATTTAAACATGTTGAGAATTGTTTGCTTATTAGTATTGGCCGTATGTGTGTCTGCGATCTCATTCAAAGACTGCGGTATGTATTCATTAAAGTAATAATAGTTTGCAGAGGTGTTAATTGTTACAATTAATATACCCAGGTCACGCCGAGGTTACAAAATTGGATGTTAGTGGATGCACCGGTAGCGGACCATGTGTGTTACATAAAAACACAAACATAAGCGTTACCATTAATTTTAAAGCCAGTATGTATTTATTATCTTTTTAATATTTTAATTGCATAAAATACAACAATGTTAATGTAAAATTTATTTTTAACTCTAGATCAAAAAACATCTCATGCTAAATGGTACTTGCACGCTAAAATTGGTGGCGTAGACACTGACCTGACTGCACTACTGCCCGGTGTTGACCTAGATGCATGCCATAGCACTAGCTGTCCCATTAATAGCGGCGATACTAAACAAGTGGTGTTTAAGTTTACTATACCTAAAGAAGCGCCGGTAGTGAGCGATGTTGACGTTACCACTAAACTCATTGGTGATGCCGGAGACCTGTTGTGCACAGTAACCCATGGTGATGTCAAAGAGTAAACTTGATCATTCTTTAGTAAACTCAATAATTATTATAAATTGTGGTGTGTAATTTTTATTTTAATATAACACTTGCTGTAATTTAGCAATAAATTATCTTGAAAGTTTAAATTTTGTTTATTATTTTGATTAATTCATTGTGCGGTATAATTATAAGAGAAGTTTTAATAGTTAAATAAAAGTTTAGATGAAATAAAATGTTAAGTTATTAATAAAATAATTAGTAATTAATTATAGTAGAGACAAGGTTAGCGGTTTGATTTTATAAACTATATTATTAACCTCATATAATTATTTATAAGCTAAATAAAATATTTAACCCAATCTTTGCTAATTTAATAAAATTACCATGAACCTGTTTTCCACCTGGGTTTTTTTTAATGCATATTAATTTGCTATAAATGGTACCTGCAAGATTTATTTTATAAGAATAGCTGAAAAATACCACATATAAGTATTTATATACTTAATAAAATATTTAACCCAATCTTTGCTAATTAAATAAAATTACCGTGAACCTGTTTTCCACCAGGGTCCTTTTAATGCATATTAATTTGCTATAAATGGTACCTGCAAGATTTATTTTATAAGAATAGCTGAAAAATACCATATATAAGTATTTATAAAGTGTATGAAATATTTAACTCAATCTTTGCTAATTTAATAAAATTACCATGAACCTGTTTTCCACCTGGGTCCTTTTTAATACATATTAATTTGCTATAAATGGTACCTTCAAGATTTATTTTATAAGAATAGCTGAAAAATACCACATATAAGTATTTATATACTTAATAAAATACTTAACCCAATCTTTGCTAATTAAATAAAATTACCGTGAACCTGTTTTCCACCAGGGTCCTTTTAATGCATATTAATTTGCTATAAATGGTACCTGCAAGATTTATTTTATAAGAATAGCTGAAAAAT